TTATTGTTGCTTGATAGACGATGCTGGACCAAGTCAGAAATCTGTATACTCATAGATCAAATTTATCCATATTCAATATTATTCTATAACACTAATGATTCATATTTTAAATAAAATAACCATCAAGTGTTGAATTTTAATTCTAACGTATAAATACAATTGATAAAATACAAAAAATGAATATACATTTATAATTTAACTAGATTTTTATTTAAAAGATATGCATATTTAATATTATTGAAATGTAAAAATGTCTAGAAAGTGAAAATACATGCATTAAATTTTAATAAAAAAAAATATATATATATTTGAGTAAGCTATAAAATATTTGTTATAATATGAATGTATGATAATATAATGATCAGCCACAGTTAAAACAAATTCAGTCTTGAACTTTATTCTATAAAAAGTTTTCTAATATACTATGTGTTGAATATATAATTATAAATTTATAATAAACTTTAATAAAAACAATTAATGTAACACTTAAAATGATAAAAACATTAAAAAATGGTTTATTTTCAACATAATAATTAATAGTATTTATATAATAATATTTTAATAGGTAACCTACCTAAGGTTACCTATTAAAATATAATAATAAAAATGAATAGTTTAAATAATAATTAAATTATTTACAACTGTCGCTTTTTAAGTTTTATTTTATTCTTAACAGCTTCTCTCATTGCAATATTCTTGCTAGTTTTGAGACAAGCTGCACTTTTTGTCATATCTTTTGTAAGAAGGGTTCCTAAATTTTTACACCTGAATTCAATAAATCGGTTTATCATCTTTGTTTTAAATGGATGACATTCTGAAAACGAAAAGGCACTTAATTCAAGTTCTAATTTCTTCATGAATAATTCGCTCTTGTTGTTTAAAATTAAACTTCTACATTTTCTAAACATTATTTCCATACTGAGGAAAAATTGAAAACATTCTTCAGTAACATATTTTAAGCAACCAGTTTTGTATTCTTTAATTTGAACAAAAGCAGAGTAATCAGTTTTTAAAGGTTTGAAAGAACATACAGAATTAATGCAACCATCACAAACTTTGTCATTATTTTCTATTCTTGATATTATATAGCCTATGGTTAAACAATTTAACAATATTAAAAATAATTTTGTAAATTTGACATACCTAATTAAATAAAATAAACTAGGTACCTAAAGTTAGACATTAATAGTTTTGTAAGTTTAATATTATTTGCAAATCTGTATTTTTTAAATTTATCTTATGAATTGTATTATAATGAATATTATTATTATATTTCATTATATTAAGAACAACTTATCCAAAACAGAATATAACGCAACATATTGTATTAATTTCTAATTTTAATTATTCTTAAATAATAAAGCTTTTGTCAATAAAATAAAGTAAGCCATAGGTTATAAAAATAGAGAGAAATAGTAAGAAAGACGAGTGACTGGAAAATCTGAATTTAAGATTTGTTATACTTTGAGTTAAATTGTTCTTTAAAAAAATTAATAATGTGTCACAAAAGTAATATACCTGCTATATTGTACAAACAGTTTTGTTCAGTATTTTGTAGAACAATAATTGTAGAATCATTAATGCCATCACATAATTCATATTTTTTATTTGATGGTTCTGATAATATAGGCTTAACTTTTGAAAAATCTAATATATCACCAAGAAACTCTCTGTCATCAAGATCATAACTACTGTTGGATACATTTTTTAGAAATTGAGCTTCACAAACAAGTTTCAAATTACTTTTAAATTGTAAAGGATTTGGAATAGATTGAACACTTCTAATACATGAAAATAAATTTTCAAGACAATCCTGAGAAAATCTTCCAGTAAGGAGAAACTTATAAGACTTTTCATTGAGAAAAATATTTTGTAAAACAATTATACTTTTTGTTGCTAATAAAACACCGGTTTGGCATGGTTTTCATGTTTCTTTACACCCAATTTTTATATTTTTGAACATATCCATAAAATCATGTAAAAATTGTATGGTTTCATTGTACTTTTCTTGGTTGAACTTACTTAAAGCAACAACAGGATTTCTAGATGTCATTAATGTAAACCACTTTGCCACTTGTATGAACCATGATGTGGTTTTGAAGGAAGAGTGATATTTTTCACAGTCAACCAAAAATTGTAAGCTGGCACTTACACCAGTACTCACAATGTTAGCAGCTTTTGAAACTTTCATCTTATCAAAATGATTAGGCTTTAAGTCTTCTGCATCAAGATTCCGAACTAATTTTAGTTCAAGATTATTTTGATGGTTTGCTAATTGTTCAATATGTTTACTATCTACAATATTAGATGTTAAGTTATGTTTTTTTACTATTTCTTTGGGTAATGTAATGAACTTATTGTTGAATAATGCTTGTTTTATATTCTTAAATAAATGTGGCACATCTGGTAAAATATATATTTCACGGTTAGAGTCACATGGGTGTATAATACTATTTTGTAAGTGTCCTGTAGATCCGGGTAAACAATGAATGTCAAAGCTTGTCCACATTGCTTTATTGCATACTCCCATATCAGATGTAACTGAATTTACTTTAAGTCCTAACGCTTCAGCTTTTGAAATAATTTCAATTATAATTGTTTTGAAAATATTGCCTTTTACCGAGTCGCTAGTGAAGTAGTATGCAACTGTCTGCTTCCAACGGCTGGATACACCGGCTAACATAAACACTAAAGCGTGGTTTCCAACACCATTATGTTCAGGCAACGTTACCAACAAATGATTTTGAACTAACATCATATACCAAACCTTCAACAAGAATCATCTCATCTAATACAACAACACATTCTTTTTCAGTATCATTCAGTGTAGAAACTTTAATAGCTAGCATCTCAAAAACATCATTCAAAATTCCACTCTCAAAAGATATGTTTTGTAATTTGCGCCTAAGAGTTCTCAGAGAAGGAAGAGGGTAATTTTGATTGAGTAGTTCCTCATAACCAGCAGATCCACATGAACATTTAAGTCGCAATGCTTTTTTAATAGTATCACTAGACCAAGTAAATCCTTTCTTATTTTTAGAATTAAGAGATAAAATTTGATTTTCTGCCAGAAAATTCTATTTATTTTATGGCGTAACTCTCTGATGACTTTTGACCGATTTAATAATTCTTTTTTACAATTTTTTAATTGTTGTAATAATTTTTCTTTGGAGTAATTTTCTATTTTTGGATTTATAATATCATCTGTTATACTATTTAAATTGTCAATACTATTTTCATGTAGAATTGTAAAATTACTATTTATAATTGTAGGTGTATCATCATTAGAAAAAAGTTTATTAGAAGCATAAGAATGTTCTAAAATTGACTTTCTTGCTCTTTTTATAGGACTTGGCGTGTATGTGAGCTTTTTTTTATGAGACTTTCTTTTTTGTTTTTGAGGTGGAATATGACAAAAATTAGTGGGCAGAGCAGTTGCTTTCAATTTTTTTTTCCCATCTATTCTTGTTATTTCCCATTGATCATCATCAAAATGTACCTTAACACGTTGACCGCCATACGGCCGCCGGCGGCCATAAAAATATTGTTACAAATTAAGAATTTTAGGCCGCCGGCTGCCGTAACATTTAATTCCTGCGAGGCCATGTGGCCGCCGGCTGCCGCATTTCTCATATTCTTTTACATAGAGATAAAATTGTTGGCGCTGTAGTAATGATTTTTATAATTATTTTGTGATGTAGAGCTAAAAATTCTGCTTCGATTGATATATTTTTAATCTTTTTACAATATTTTTTCATCGTTATATTGTGGTTAAGTACCTATAGAAATTATTATTATTTTAATTTCTTATCATATTTTAAATTAGAAAATGACTAAAGAAGACAAGTTTTCATTTACTCACTTTATTTTATTCAATAACAATGTCATGGTATTATTTAAATAAAAAAATCTTGTTAAAATAAGTAAATACATTTTTTAAATGAATAAATAAAATGAAACAAACATCTTTTTTAATATCGAACTATTATAACATCTTTTAAAAATAATTTATTTTATTTCCATATTTAAAAACTAGTTAAAAAATTTTAAATGTTTATTTACAATATTAATTGTACCTAATTTTTATTTTGTATGATGTTTGACAAAACAATCAGCACACGTGTAAACATCACATGTTTCGCAAAGAGTTGTAACCCTTTTCATATCTTTGCAAGCCTGTACTGATCCTACAGTAGTTGTCTTTTCGTTATAACAATGAGCACATCTCTTTCGCAGTTTTCGGTTTCTGTTGCACTTTAATGTAGTTTGTATAAAAACGTGTTTTGCTCGTCGTGTTTTCGGTAACACAAGTGAAGTTTGGTCCTGTTCTGATTGATTAAATCCAATGAATCCAAGCATTTCATTAATTAATAATTCTCGAAATTGCGTGATCTTTAGTTTATTCTGTGGCGTGTTCAAGTTATAAACTATCAATGCATTCACTACTGCAGTTCCTAATAAGACTTCGGTTGCCACTTTGTGGTACCACCTTATGGATTTTCGTACAGGGCTACTATAGCTGGATAGCTGATCTGATAAATCAATGCCAGCCTTCCCAGCATTATAGTCAATTATTATTTTTGACTTCACTATTGATTGGTTTTTCTATTTTTTTTACCTGTGTCTATCATAGAAATGTCATGGCGAGTAGATAACATGGTGACATCCCTTTTGTCACGCCATTTGGCAACCACAATACCGTTTGAATTTTCTTTTCCTACTATTTGTCCTGGTTGTAGCTTTGCTTTTGTAACATCTGGTAGTTTAACTCGATTGGATCTTAATGTACCGATTCAGGGGCGTATTTAGATATTTTTTTTGGGGGGGGGGGGGCTGTGGTATTTTCTCCAACTGAAATTCCCTAATTCAGCCTATTAAAAATAAGAGTTAGAAAATTAGTAAACAATTTTAATTTTTGTCATGATTTTAATGTTTTCAAAAAATTAATAATGAAATAATATATAATAATAATAATAATACTACGATATTAATATAACAAATCAAATCAAATTTAAATTTCTTTCTTTGCCACTGTTAGCAAATTTATCTAATAAAATGTCATCTGGTATGTCAATATCTCTATGAATAGCTAAAAGGGCAAGTCCCACTAGTCTGGATTCTGAAGTTGTATTTCTTAAATACGTTTTGAGTCTTCTCAACGTCGAAAAGCTGCGCTCAGCTGTAGCGGTGGATACTGGTATTATAGCTAGTATTTTTAATAATTCATACATGTTTGGATACATTAAATTATCACAGACACTCAAAGCCTCTATAGCAGTTGTGGGCCTTAAGTTGTTTTCAATATTCTTCCACTTAGCCTGCCAAATTTCGTACTCTGCTTCTATAACGTCATTTAGCCCCGGTAAATCATTTTCATAAAATTCAGCAGCTTTTTTTAAATAAGAAAATGGTTTTTCAACTACAATACTTGGTAAGACATATTGTAATGAAGTTATAATTTCATTGTGAGGTATAAATCTTTCATTTAATGCCATCATCAAATCGTCCAAGTACGGTATAAAAATAGATTTTTTGTAATATTCTTCAATGTTGTTAGATGGTACATTGCTTCTATTTCTTTGACTGCTACAAATACGAGGCATTTTTGGTTCAATATTTAACTTTTCAGCAACATCTTTGGCTTCTTTATAAATATTGTTAAATTTTAAATCAACGTTTTCTCTTATGGATTGAAACACAGAAATTACACCGGAAACTTGATTAAGAGCATTAAATAAATCAATATTTTTGCTTTGTAAATATTTCGATAAATTATAAGTATAACTTAATAGTTTACTAGACACACAAATAGATATTAAAAAATTAAAGTTGCAAATACAATGTAAAAGGCTATTAGCTCTTTTTGAAGAATCGGTCCCAGAACATTCACTTTGCACTTCTTCTAATGCAGCTACAACGGGTTCTACAAATTCTTTAAAAAGCATAACTGCTTCATGGCGTAACACCCAGCGAGTTTCACATAAAGATTTCAATTTTGTAGATTGTGAATTTGGTTTAATTTCTTTTATTTTATTTTTGAAGACTGTAGTTCGTTTTGCCGAACTGTTAAAAAAAGAACAGCATTCACTTATTATACCAAAAGCATTTCGAATATCTTGAGATTTTGTAGCATCCGATAAACAAAGATTTAGTGAGTGTGATACACAATGTGTGTATAATGCTTTTGGGTACATATCTTTAATAATTGCCTGAACACCTCTAAAACGACCACGCATTGCTGCAGCCCCGTCGTAACCCTGACCTCGCATTTTATTCAAATCAAAACCAATTTTTTTTAATGTTTCTTTAATCGTATTAGCCAAACCTTCACCAGATATATCATATACCGGAACGAATGTAAGAAAATCTTCTCGAATTGAAAAAACCTGCTCGTCAACATAACGAATACATAATGAGAACTGTTCAATTTGAGAAATATCAGTCGTTTCGTCTGCAAGTATTGTATAAAAATTAGTTTTTGAAACTCTTTCAAGAATTTTTGACTGAATTAAATCACCAAACAAATTTATTATTTCGTTTTGTATAAGTGGACTTGTATACATAGATTTACAACCACTAGTTTCCAAATGTTCTTTTAACACGTTGTCACCATTTTTCGAGCGATATCGAAGCAAACAACGGAAATTACCATCGTTATTTTTTGGTTCTTCTAAAGAAATTCTACCAGAATCCTCGTGCCCTCGTAACGCTATTTGCTGTCTACCACATAACCGAATTGTTTGAATATTTGGCTTAAGTTTTGCGCGATTTTTTATAACTTCATCTTTTCGTTTGCTATTTAATTGTACTAATATATTATCTTGTTTTTTTTCTAAAATTGCTTTTATGTTATCAGCAGTAAGTAACGAATTTTTATGGTAATAATTTTTTTCGTGATTTCTAAAGTCTTCCAATGCGTCTTTTAACTTTGTCAAGGGTTTTAAAACAAGTTTTCCTAACTTCTCATGTGATCCCTTACCAACCTGATTTAAATTTAAGAACAGTACACAGAATTTACAAAATAAACCCTCTCTTAATTTTGAATATGCTAACCATTTGAAAGTTTCAAGCCATTTAATTTGAAATTTACGTTTATATTTTCCACTATTATCATATGGGAAATTAAACTTTAAATCGGGTGTCCATACGTTTTGCAAAATTGAAACTTTCTCTTCGTCACTTAAATTATTCTTACATTCAACATAACCTCCTATATCAAACTTAGAATCTAAACATTTTAAACTAGGTTCAATTACCGGAGACATAACTGGTGGACTTGGAGCTGTTTTTTCTGTTTCAAGTGTTGCAATAATGTCATCATCTTGTAAAACATTCGATGTAGATGGAACTGTATCATCGACGGATTCGGTGGACTGTTTGGATTTTTTATAAAAATGCAATAATGATTGTTGAGTTCTTTTCATTATGCTTAGGTGTATTATTATTATTTTATTTAACCAACAAATAAAAACACTCGTCACAATCCACTGTCTTAGTCAGTGGCGGATTGTGCCACCGGGAGGCCGGGAAGTTTCCCGGTGGGCTAGAGCCGGTCATAGCTAACGAGCCTATCGTCCTAAACTGATTTTATAATAATTTATTTATACTAAAATATGTTCTCTTTTATTTTTTAAAATATTATTGTTCGATAAAATATTTTTATTACCTATACATGATGTTTTGTGCATAAAACGTTATAAGTTTTAATTTTATGTGTAATGCATGAAGTACAATATACATATATTATTATCTATAAATAAAAACAACTAGTCAATTTTATAATATACCCGGTATGGCGGTATTATCTCAGTAACTGGAAATACCTAATCGAAATACAAACGATCATTCATAATTCAGATATCAAGCGTATGACCACGGTTATATTCATACAATCATACTGTAGACATAAATATAAATTTAAAATTTATATAATTATATGTCTATGGTTGTATTGTAGTGTGCACGCGATTTGCGGTCGTTATGATAAGTGATAACATTGATTCAAAGATGACATTATTTAATATTTTTGTTTAAATAGTTTTTGGTGTCGATTAAAAATCTAGACACACGAGTACACGACACACGAAGAAGTGTAATTTTATAATTGGTGACTGGTGTACCTAATTTTATGTAAACGTTTTTTTTTAAAAGTGTTCTTTGTTAGAGTACCTAATAATGTCTGAAAATAAACGTAAAGGCGGAGCCCAAAAAGTTAGGGAAAAAAATAAGAAACTTTTATTTTCACAAGCGAACAAATGTAGACCGATCTCGGAATTATTTTCAATCCCGCCAATTCAAAAAGTGAGTACCTATATTTAAAGAAGTACCTAATAATTTATAATATTATGTTTTATTTTTTTGTGTGTGGTAAGATTAAAATTTAAAAAACAAACCTATTAGTTTAAACATTTATCAGAACATAGGTAATTCTTTACACTTTTATAAATGGTTTTAGAGTGATCAAATATTATGTAATAATTCAAACTATGATGAAGTTATCAATTGCAAAGATGTTGATAGTACATTAAATATACTAGAAAAGGTAAAATTAAAGTTTAATTCTTAAATAAATATCTATAAATAAATAAATCATAATGCTTTTAAAAAATATTTCTTTTATGTCTATACTGTAACATAATAATTGCTAAACGTGCTTGCAAACTAAATATATTTTTGTGTATTAAATTATGTGTAGGAGAATGTTATGAAAGTTTGTGGTTTGGTTAATGCTGATGTTGATGATGACAAAGATATTGTTATGGTTGAAGATGATGTTATTATGGTTGAAGATGTTGACAAAAATAATTTGTTAGATAATAATTTTACTTTAAATTATTTTCAAAAACCTATGCTGTCTAGTATCAATGATTTTTTTAAGTTTCATCCAAAACAACCTCATGTTGAAAAATTCTTTAAATCATCTAAAGCTTATTTTAGGAGCAATAGTATTAAACGCCAGTGGTTAAGTTTTGATAATCAATCAAAAAGCTTGTTTTGTAGTGTATGCTTAGCTTTTTCTTCAGAACCTAATCTATTCACTAAAGGTTTATCCGTTTGGACACATGTATACCAACGTATAGAAGAACATGAAGCTAGCAAAACACATATGTCTTGTTCTGAATCATATCTTTTACATACAAGTAACAAAACTATTGATATATTATTATTTTCTGATTTTAAAAAGAAACAGAAAGAAGAAGTTAAGAAAAACATACAAATACTTCAGCGTGTCATAGATATAGTAAAATTAATTGGTAAGAGAGGACTAAGTTACCGAGCTCATAGAAATGAATCAGCTTTGTCTTTAAATAATCCTATTTTAGATCATGGCAATTTTTTGGATATATTGCTTCTTTTAAAAAAATATGACATTGTCCTAAATGAACATGTTGATTTGTTAACTACTAAGGCTCAGCGTAAAGCAAATAGTGGAAACTCTAAAGGAAAAGTTTCGAAGGTTACTTTCATTTCAAAAACCACAGTCAATATGGTGATCGATTCCATAAGTACCCTAATTAAGAAAAACATATCTTCACAGATTTTAGAGGCACTAATGTTTTCAGTACAGATGGATACTACTCAAGATGTATCAGTACAGGACCAATGTTCACTTATTGTACGGTATGTGAACTCCAGTGGTGTACATGAAAAACTTTTATCAGTTGTAACTATGACAGAAACCAAAGGAAAAAGTTTCCATGAAATGTTAGAAAATAAATTGTTAAGTAGTGGACTTAATATAAAAAACTGTATTGGTAACTCTACTGATGGGGCCTCGAATATGCAAGGTCAGTATAATGGGTTTACTGCGTGGCTTACTAAATCATCACCAGGACAAGTACATGTTTGGTGCTATAGTCACGTTCTTAATTTAGTCTTAATAGACTCTACTAAATCTGCATTGCCTGCTGTAAAACTATTTTCTTTACTTAATGAAGTCGCTGTGTTTTTTAAAGAATCTTATAAAAGAATGAATGTTTGGAAAAATACTGTTGGAGAAAATATTAAAAAAAAATTGGTTTCTATTGGAATGACACGGTGGTGGTCAAAAGAAAAATCTTTACAAACTATATTTGGTGAAGATAACCTTTTTGTGCAACTTATAATATCATTAGATACAATTCAATCATCCCATGACTTTAATCCTGAAATTAAAGCAAAAGCTAGAAATCTAAAAGAAGCATTTATGAGTTATGAATTAATATTAACATCATTAATTTACATTAAAATTTTTAAAATTGTGGGACCTTTATCTAGATATCTACAAACCTCAGGAATTGACTTGATAAAATCTCAAGAATTAGTAAATAAAGCTTTACATAATTTAAAACAAATTCAGAGAGGTATGAAAGATGTAAAATCTGAAGCAGATAAATTCATAACTATAATTGAAGAAACATTTGAAGATAAACATAATATGGATGTTTTAATTGAAAAAGAGTTCCCAAAAATCAGATGTAGGCATAAAAAAAAAATGGCCGATGAGATGACATCAGATCAACCTATACTTGATGCTGAAGAAAAATTCACAGTTGAAGTTCACAATATAATTTTTGACAAAACAATTTGTTGCATGGAAGAAAGGTTCTCCTCCAATAAAAAACTGTACTGTGATTTAGCATGTTTGTCACCAAATAACTTTAAAGATTTACATGATAAAGAAATACCATTTGATACATTACTTGAATTGTCCAAAGTCTTAAAAAAATTTGATGACAAATTGACTCATGCTAAATTGTTAGACGAAATGTTAAATTTTTCATCATCCTGGGATCAGTTAAAAAGAACTGTACCTGAATACTATGAAAAAAGTAGTGAAGATAATATTGAAGAAGAAACAAGTGATAAACATGGCACAAATGTTGAAGAAGTACACTGCAAGTCTTGCATGAATTGTCCTCACTGTTGCTATAATGTACTTTTGAAGTATAATTTGTATAGTAATGCATACCATTTTTTGTTTCTTGCTTATAAGTATCTGCTTACACTTCCATGTACACAGGTAATGACATACATTTCAAATTTTATAATTATTATTTTAGTAATTAATTATACGGTATATTTTAATTACTAATTTTGACTTACCAGGTAGCATGTGAAAGGTCGTTCTCCAAGCTAAAGATAATCAAAACACGATTGAGAAATTCATTGAGCGAAGAAAAGCTAGAAGCATTTATGCTTATGAATGTGGAAAAAAGTATATTACATAGTATAGACTCAGAAGAAATTATTGACATTATAAAAAATAGTAGTGATTTCTTAAATAAAAAACTATCATATTAAGTTTTGGCCAAGTTCTACCTTATTCAATTTTTTAATTTGTATAATATTATACAGGCATGCTTCCACTGTTTATCAAAATTGTTCATAATGTCTTATGTTGAATAATATACCTATATACATCACTTGAATAATGAATATGATATAATTTATTGATATATTATATTATATATTAATATATTATGTAATACATATATAATATCAATAATACTTTTATGGTTTATGTAAGTAATAAATTAGGAATATTAAATAATTTATTAAACCCAACTAAAATTATTATTATTTATTATAATTTTACTACATTTTCACTAAATTTTTTGTGTTTATGGAGTTTTGGGCCGGTGAAACAAAATTCTCCCGGGCTGGTTAAATTTGAGAATCTGCCGCTGGTCTTAGTAGTTAGTAGGTACGTACTACATGCGATACTAAACGTCGTGTATATATAACGACAACAAAATATTTATCTATAATAGCGACTATAATATAACAGCGTTATCGGCCGTCATCGTCACAACTTCTCGGAAATATTTTTAGCTCATACAGGCTCGTATAATTATTGTACGGTGATTGAAACGCGACAACGCGTGTATATCAGTAAATCAATTCTAGATAAAAGAAATCGAAATTACGATAATGCAGCAGTACCACATGTCAAAATTAAGCATTATGTATCTTATTGAACTTTTACGATTTTACATCTAGTAGGACATAATAGGTAGTCTTAATCAACAATTCCTGGATTTCGGGGGGGGGGGGGCTGAAGCCCCCTCAGCCACCCCCATAAATACGCCCCTGTACCGATTAAATGCGTATTTTTTTCTAATAGCTCATTGGCTAAATTAAGCGATGTATAAAAATTATCTGTTATAATAGTTCTGCCGCAATTTAAATATCTGGAACTTAAATCTACAACGACTCTGCAACCTAATCCTCTTCCATCAGTTTGGCTTTTGCCTGCATAAACTTCCATATTATACGTATACCCGTTAACGCCACAAAGTTTAAATAATTTTATTCCGTACTAATGCGCCTTTCCAGGAATATACTGTTTGAATTTTAATCGCCCACGAAATGGAACCATTGTTTCATCTACAGCCATCATTTCTTCTGGTTCCATTATATTTTGAAAGTTATGAACCATTTTTGTAATCAGATTTCGAATTTTAAAAATTCTATCACTTTCAGGAGCTTGGTCGTTATCAGCAAAATGCCAAAATCGGAGAATCAACTCGAATCGATTTCTTGACATGATATTTTTTGCTACACAATTTTTGTATAACATCTTCACACTCCAATAATCTTTTAAACTAGGCATTTGGACTAGCCCCATCCACATAAGCAAACCTAAGAACTGTTTAATTTCAACATCATTGGTAGGCACCCACTTAGAAAATCTACTAGTTTTAGTCAATCGATGTTTAGATAACACCTGATCAGCATTCTTTTTCGTTTCGACAACCATTAAATTAATTATTTCGTCAGTTATAAATAAGTTCAAGTATGTCCATATTGTTGCATTGTGCGGTATTTCAATTTTTAGACCGGGATTTTTTTCGAACAAAAAATTTTTTTGGTTTTGATTCGTTATATCATTCCATGTTTGTTTAGAGGTCTTTGGATGGTTATTAACTACCTCTAAAGTATTTTCATCAATATCACTTCTATCTGAAAATACCACCATTTTTTAAATATTTTATAGACAAAAAAAAGTTGTATAGAAAATTATATTTTACAAAATAAAACCATACTGCGATAAGGTGGTATTTAAATTATTTTTTGTATCTAGCTTTATTAGTTTTTTATTTATTTAAAATTAAAATTTTTCTTTAGAAAAAAATATATTTTATTTTACTTTACACATTCTTTGTACTAAATACATATGTATTATTAAATATAAAAGTATTATATAATATAATAGTTGTACTTACCATTGGAACTTTGATTATCACCTGACGAGTTTGGAGGCATGTATGTATCGTCCTCATCCGTGTCATCAAATTCACTAAACGAACTTAAATCAGACTCAGACTCTTCCAATAACCCTCTAACAACATTTTCATCACCAATCTTGAACCTTTTTGCCCGTGAATTCATTTTTAAAAGATAAAATTCAAAAATTGTCACAATAAATAAGTTAGACCGCCGGCGGCTGTATGGCGTCTGATAGTGAATCGTATTATCGAGGTGCCGAATTGCCGCCGGCGGCCGTACAATTATTGTTGAAAATTAATAATCTATGTATAAAAATAAATATTTTGGTGTTTAGTTCGTATTTTTAGACCGATTTGTTCAAGAGATAACACATCGAACGTTTTCGTAATTCCCATAAAATAGGCCGATGGCGTTGTAATAATAAACAACAGTATGGCCGCCGGCGGCTGTATGGCGGTCAACGTGTTAAGAAAACCAAATTAATTACCTACTCAATAAAATTAAATAAATGAAGTATTAAATAATATTGAATATTATATAATAATAAGTCACTTTTTTATTGAAGCCGCAATAACAAATATTATTACTGGCCTATTGATATTTAAATAGAAAAAGTATATAATATTAAGTTTTATATTGTATTAAATGTATAATTAAATAAGATGGTACAATTTTGATAATTTTAAGTAATTGTAACTAGACTAGAGATTATTCTGTTTAACAATCTATATTGATACAAAAGAGCAAATTTAGGTCTATTTGTTTATTAACGTAGAGCCTAAACTATAATAGCTAGAGACATAAAATGTTCATGAAAACATTGTACTACCATGTAAGTTCTAAAAAAAAACCCAAGCTACCTATTTAAAATAAAGGTATATGAAAATGAAAATATAATGAATATCAGGTACAACAAAACTGTCCAAGGTAATCTAGTTTATATTTAAAAATGCTCACCTTTTTTTTAATTAAAATATTCAGTAAATAACTTTTTAGTTAGAATAAGTAGCTCAAGACTTTTATATTTTATGTAAATTTTTGTGTAATTTACACGGTGTTATAAAATTGTAAAATATGCTTGATAAGTATCAATATATCATGTATAGATGTAACATGAATACTATGTAATATATAATAATTAACTATGTTGTGCATTAGTATTATATTGTGTAATTGTATAATTTATATTATTATTAAACGTATAGTATCTATACCCAATATAATTAATCTCATCTTTATTATTTACATAGGTACTTTAAATTTAAAACTTATTAACTTTAAATATCATGTAGGTATGGTACCTAGCTGAATATTATTAATTAAAAAACCTATTTAATAGTTAACCTAACCTTATTAGTTATTATCTAGACTCAAGGCTGGGCAAGTTAATGATTTTTTTCAACTCAGTTAAGTTAAGTTAATGAAATGAAACTGAAGCTGACCACAGTTAATGCAGTGATGATATGAAGAAACAGATAGTACATCCAACAAACATTGAAATCATAGAATTAAGTAATGTTTGGAATCACCAAACATAGAAAGTCTTTAGATTTTTCATTGCTCACATCAAAGGTGTGCAGCACACTTAAATTTGATCGCTGTGAACGATATACGTGAAGCTGAAAAGATGTTACATATAGACTTATGAGTATAAGAGAGTGTTTGAAAGTGCCAAAACTTTTAATAAGCAAAATCAGTCAACGCTTTGTGCTGATCAAATAAAAATATCTAGGTCGATATCTTATTACACCTAATGCAACAAGGTTATTACTTGGAATTTGTTGTCTTTAATAAAGTATTAAGATTTACAAATAATATATTAATTTCCAATATCATTTATTGTATACCTAGGTGGAATTTTAATATGACGCCATAAATGTGTTGTGAATAATATTGAAAATTGAAAATGATCTGTATCGAGCTGCAATTGCCAATTATATCAAAACTCGTAAGCAGGTTTTAATTGAATATTGCAAAGTAAATGACAAATTTTATCTACTAATTTAATAATTTGTATATTATATTTATTACACCATTTTTCTGTCATGAATATCAATTTCTAAATAATATATAGGTCATGAAGCCTAGCTCAGCTTTGATATACCGTAGGAGATAAACATGTCATTAGGTTCTTACTCCCCATAATAAGTGTAATAGCTAAATCATTCAATGAGATGAACACTATCTGTAATCTCTTGTTAATGCATTAAAGAAAGGACACATAAAAGGTAATTTTAATTATGAATATGAAATATTTATATCCATCTAATACTCCAAAATATATACTTTAAGTTTACTATTAATTATTATTTGTAAATTATAATTATATTTTATAATTAATCAATTTTATAGGTCAAAGATATACTGAATCTCAATCATGCCAATAGCAGCTTGTTTAATACCCAAGTTTAAACTTCACTGGGCAGATCCAGATAAGAGAAATGGTATCAAAGAAGCATTATATGGATATCTTATTGAACATGGTGTTGAACAATCACAAGAAAGTAATGTAACATTAAGTTCAACTCTCAAACCTCTTCCGATGACAATGCTTATGATGATTTTTAGTTTTAATGAAACTGTAACATCAATATTGATAATGATATTAAAACTATCATAAATGAATATTTGAAACAATAATATAAAAAATGTTAATGATTTGCCACGAATTCTAAAAACCATATTTAGAGTTTAACACTGCAGTTCCATCATCCGCGCATGTAGAACGCTATTCAGTGCTGGGGACAGTTGTTCGACAATATATATCAATAGTAAGATAAAAATTTTGAAATGACCTCCTTTAAATTCAATGAAGCAAATAACTGCCAATTATTATTATTAGTATATATTTATTTTTACATAATATATTGCTTTACTATTATAAACATTGTTATACAAAACTATAAAAGATATTATTTCTTATTACTTATACATATACATATATATACATATATATATAATACCTATATATAAAAATAATTATATTATATAATATAATAATAAATAAATATGTATATTATATTATAATATAATATAAATTATAATATAAAATAAAAACTACTGTTCTAAAAATACAATATACCATATGGAAATGCTGTATAAAATATAAACATCATGATCTATAATTTAGTTAAGGTTTGAAAAATAAATACTTAGCGTTAGTAAAAATTAACTTTTTATCCAATAAAAGTTAAAAATGGAATTAACTTTAACTTTAACTGGAGTTAACTAATAATTAAATTAACCTTAACTTAACTTTTGTTATTGGTATATTA